CCCAGTGTCCCCAGTGTCCCCTGGGGCACTGCTGCCATCTGCTGGCACGATCCCATGCTGCTCCGGTCCTGAGCCTGGCCACCGCGCCAGGCTGGGTGGGGACCCGCTGTGACCCTCTGGGGACCCTCCATGTCCCTCTATGTCCCTCTGGGGACCCGCTGTGCCCCTCTGTGTCCCTCTGGGGACCCGCTGTGCCCCTCTGTGTCCCTCTGGGGACCCTCTGTGACTCCACTGTCTTGTGCCCCCTGCCTGGCACTGTGGGACCACCTCTAGCTCCAGTCTGGACACCCCTAGGTGTCCCCAAATTCCCCCTGCTGCTCCAGGAATCCGAACCCCAAAGCTGCTCCCCGTGTCCCCCACGGCACAGGTGACTGTCACCCCAGTAAGGCTCTCCTGGGCTGCAGGTGTCTCCCACACCGGCCCCTTGCAGTGCCCGGACACCCTCCCTGCCCCATTGTTCCCCGTGTGGGACGGCCGGGAGTGGCCCCTGTGTCACCCACTGGGCTGATGGGGCAGGGACAGGATCCGGCGGGGGAGCAGCGGCTCTGCTGGGCTGTTCCCCCAGGGAACATCCAGCTCCATCCCCCCCAAAGCTGCTGAGGGGCAGAGGAAGCTCATCCCAAGATGATTTCCTGCTGCATTCCCATCCCCTGCGTGTCTCAGGGATGCGGGGATTTGCTGAGTCCCCTCCTCCCTGGGACAGCCGAGCACATTCGGAGCCTCTTCCCACGGCCTCCCTGAGCCTCCTGGCCTTGCCGGCACCTCCGCGTCCCCTGGGAGCAGCACATCCCGGGATAACCACGGGGGACTGTGCCTCGCTGGGTGGGGGGACACCCAGTGACACCCTGCACATCCCTCTGGCCTTCCCACGGGCACTGAAGTGGCCTCAGTGGGGTGCCTAGAGGTCCTTTGCTTTTCGGATGCAGTCGGGAAGCGGGAATAAGGTTTGGGAGAGGCGAACCGCCGAGCCCAATCCCCGCAGCGGCTCTGCAAGCACCATGGCTCATCCCACCCCGGGCAGATGGCAGCAGCATCCTGCTCCTCGCTGGAAAATGCCCAAATGCACGGGCAGGGACTGCGCTGCAGCTGTCCCCGGTTTCATTCCCCGCAGCAAAGCGAGGCGGTGTCTGGCGGATTTTCCATGCGCTCCCTGCCCCAGCCCACACACAGGAAGGCTGCACAGCTCAGGGACCTTCCCGCTGGGAATGGTCCCCGGCGTGCGAGCCCTGCAGACTCCGTGCCTGACGCCCACGGGAGCAGCGGGAAGTTTTAGTGCTCAGTTTTAGTCTAAAAGGGATTTTTATTCCCTAAGCCCTGTAGAAGAAAACTGGGAAAAATCAGCTCGCCCAAGGGGCCAGCCCAAAGAGGCAAAAGAGCCAACATCAGTTGTGCTGAAAGCTCGCTGGGCAGAGCTGAGCCACGGAGGGTTCGCTCTGAATTCCCAAAAAACCAGGTGTGTGCATCCTCCCACCTCCCTCCGCCTCCGGCATTCCCACCCGCCGCCATTCTCTTGCTTCTGGAACAACCATTCCCACCAATCCCCCCTTTGGCAGCTCAACCAGAGACTCCCCCATCAGCGCTGCCCGTGCTCCCCAAACACCCTTCCCAAAATCCTCAACCCATCGCCATCCCTCTCCCATCCAAACCCCGGCCGGCTGCCCACCAACTCACCGCGGGGGAAACGCCAAATCCTTCTGCCATCCTTTGGCACGCCTGGCACTCGGGTGGGCTGGCACGGCTCCCCCCCGCCTCCGCCGCACATCTGGGCAGCTGTGGTGTCCCGGCAGCGCTGACATCAGCTCGGTTTCCTGCCCCGGTGCCGCGCCGTGCGCGCAGCCCCACGGCCATGGAGTCCGTGGCCCTCTACACCTTCCAGGCGACGGAGAAGGACGAGCTGCCCTTCCAGAAAGGGGACACCCTGAAGGTACAGGGGACACGGCTCGCCGGCTGGCGGGGGTTGGATGATGTTGTTTTGGGGTGACGGAGTGGGCCCGTGGTGACGCCGGTGCTTCCTTTGGCCCTGGCTTTAACGCTCCTGGGGCTTTCTGTGGGAGATAAGGAGCCGGCCTCGAGGATTTTGGAGTGTGGAGGAGCATTCCCGGCTTGCCACCAGGCACAGCTTCAGAGCAGGACACCCCCAGCTGGGACATGTGGCTGGCAGTGCCACCAGCTGTGCCCTGTGGCAGCCCCAGGGTCTGGGACACGTCTTCCCTGTCCGGGGGGCACTGGAGGGCACAGGGCAGCAGGAGCATGTGCCCAAACACCCACCCGGGCATTGGGGTGGGCGCTCAGATGCCATCTGGCAATCCCAAAAAGCTCCAGGGGGGCTCAGAACATCCCTGGGGGCAGCAGCCCTGTGATGGGAGTGATGGCAGCTCCTCCCTGCCCATGTGCTCATCCCTTCGGGCTCTTCCCGGACCCCTGGCACCCTGTAGCCCCTCCGGGGGGCACATCCAGGCTGGAACCCAGAGCCCCAAACCCCCCGTGCCATCCCTGCCTCCCGGCGTGTTTTCCCCGTGGGTTTCGGATCCTGTTTTCACAGCTGTGCCGGCCCCGGGCCCCTGCGGGGGAGGCTGGAAAATGTCACACGGAAGCGGTGTCAGCACCCACTGCCACCGTGCCGGGGGACACGGGGGCCTGGCTCATGGCCTGGCTGCTCCAGGGACAGATTTCACCCTCTTCCCTGGGCAGGGGTCTGGGACAACACCGGGCACCTTCCAGCTCTGTGAACCCAAAGCCCGCAGGGTGTGCCAGCACTGCCAGAGCCCCCTTTTCCCCAGGGGATGCTTGGTGGGTGTTGAGGGGTCTGGGGCAGCAATGGGGTCCCCATCAGCCCCCCTGCCGAGGGAATGGCAGCCAGGCTGACACCTCCCTGCTCCTCTCCCACCTCAGATCCTCAACATGGAAGATGACCAGAACTGGTACAAGGCTGAGCTGTTTGGCCGTGAGGGCTTTGTCCCCAAAAACTACATCAAGGTCAAGCCACACCCGTAAGTACCACCCCACCAGCCAGGCAACAATCCCAATTCCCAAAGGTCTGCCACGCGCCAGGGTAGTCCCACACGGGGGGAAACTGAGTCACAGAGCTGGGGGGGGGGGAGGGGGGTCAGTCTGCCAGTGTCACCACAGCCTGAGGGGACAAAAGGCAGCAGCACGCCCACGTACCCCCAAAAATCCAACCCTCACACCGAGCTGCCACTAAATAAATGATAATTGGGGAACAACAAAGCGTTACGGGATTATGACTGCATTAAACACAATCCTATTACCGTGTTATTAAAGCCCAGCCTAATCCATCGCTGATTGAACCTGTGTTTTATATATCCTTAGCCCCTGGTAAATCACATTTAAATGCCAGAGCGAACGCGTGGGCTCGGGGCAGCCCGGGGCACATCCCACTGCTTCTCCAGCTCGGGATAACAAACGGGATGGGCGAGACGCAGCCTCTTCCATGCAGCACCTGGAGGGGCTGGCCCTGTGCTAAACTCCGCGGCTGATCATTCACCGGGCAATTCTTACAGCAGCAGAGAATCTTCCCAGCCCACGGACCCGAAATATTCGGGCACAGGGGTGGGACAGGGGGACTCTGCTCCTTGAGCCGGTTTGGGAGCTGCCGGCGGTGCAGCAGGAGGGGTTTATCCTGGCACCGGGGGTTTATCCTGGCACCGGGGGTTTATCCTGGCACCCGGGGTTTATCCTGGCACCGGGGGATTTCTGCTATGCCCCTGGAAGAGCTTTTCCCACCAGGGCCCAAGGGACGCGGAGGAGGGGACAGGCGGCAGAGCGGGGCCGAGGCACGGGGTGACAGCGCAGGTGACAGGATGCGGTGGCGGCTGCCGGTGACGCGGAGGGGGCAGCGCGCCCACAGCACCCTGAGGTGCCCCCCGAAAATTCCGGGCTGAACTAGGAGGGGGAGGGAAGGGAGAAATTGCCGGCGGAGGGTCGCAGCCCCGCGAGGAGCCCGGTGCAGACCCCTCTCCCGGTGGCACCGGGATTCTCGGGTGCGGCGCCGGGGGGTGCCCGGGGGTGCCCGGGGGTGCCCGGGGGTGCCCGCGTGGCTCAGCCCGGTGCCCCTCGCAGGTGGTACGCGGGCAGGATCTCCCGGCAGCTGGCAGAGGAGCGGCTGCTCCAGCGCAATCACCTGGGAGCTTTCCTGATCCGCGACAGCGAGAGCGCCCCGGGCGAGTTCTCCCTCTCCGTCAGGTGAGCGCCCTTGGGACGCGCGGCAGGAGGGGAAGGGTCTCCTTCCATCCCTCCATACATCCATCCCTCCATACATCCATCCCTCCCTCCATCCCTCCCTCCATCCCTCCATCATCCCTCTATCCATCCCTCCATCCATCCATCCATCTTCCTTCTGCAGCTATGGGAAGGACGTCCAGCACTTCAAGGTGCTCAGGGAGAGGAACGGCAAATATTTCCTCTGGGAGGAAAAGTTCAACTCCCTCAACGAGCTGGTGGATTTCTACAGGATGACCACGATTGCCAAAGAGCAGCAGATTTTCCTGTGGGACGAGGACCAGACCCAGCAGGTACCACCATGGACGGGCCCGTGGGTCCCACACCCTGCATGAGCCCCCTCGAGGCTCAGTGTCCCTGCAGAGGGACAGGGACATCCCTGGCTGGCACCTCAGCGGGGTGAGGAGCAGGAGAGACGTGGTGCTGCAGGGAGGAAGAGCTCCTGGAGCAGCTCAGCAGGGCAGGGCAGGGCAGGGCACTCATCCCTGTCCCTCGGGCCAGGAGTGATGCCCAGGGCAGGTGGCAGAGCCAGGGCAGGGCACGGCCAAGCTCCAGCAAAGCCAAGCCCTGGGGCAGTGGCTGTGGAGGTGGCAAAACTGGACTTTGGGAGCTGGGATGGGGAAAGCTCCAGCACCTGGAAGGAGCTGGGAAGGAGAGGGTGCCAGCTGCCCCCAAGGGTCCCCTGGGCACCCATTTTGGGTCTCCAGCAGCAAGAACAGGGAGTCTTGTGCCCTGGGGTGTTCCCCTCCACCTGGGCTTGTCCCCAGCGCTCCACTCTTCCCTTTTCTTGCTTCTGTCTCTCCAAAGGAGGCATCCCAAGGCTCGTCCTCACGCCGTGGTGGCACGGCGTCCCCACCAGGGCCCAGGCAGTGCTGCCCAGTGCCGGGGGCTGGCAGATGGGGACCCCTCTCCTCCCACCAACCCCTGCCCTCGGCTTCCCTGCAGGTGAAGAGACCCCGATTTGTGCAAGCCCAGTTCAACTTCTCAGCCCGGGAGGGCTCCCAGCTGCCCTTCCTCCGCGGGGACATCATTGAGGTCCTGGACTGCCCTGACCCCCACTGGTGGCAGGGGAAGATCTACGGCCGTGTTGGGCTCTTCCCCCGGAGCTACGTCCACCCCATCCACCAGTGACCTTCAGGTGACCATCCACGAGTGACCTTCAGGTGACCTTCAAGTGACCATTAACAAGTGACCTTCTTCAGGTGACCATCCACGAGTGACCTTCAGGTGACCATCCACGAGTGACCATCAACAAGTGACCTTCTTCAAGTGACCATCCATGAGTGACCATCCACCAGTGACCTTCAGGTGACCATCCATGAGTGACCATCCACAAGTGACCATCCACAAGTGACTATCCATGAGTGACCATCCACCAGTGACCATCCACCAGTGACCTTCCAGTGACAATCTACCAGTGACCTTCAGGTGACCATCCATGAGTGACCATCCACAAGTGACCATCCACCAGTGACCTTCCAGTGACAATCTACCAGTGACCTTCAGGTGACCATCCACCAGTGACCTTCAGGTGACCATCCACCAGTGACCCTCCCCACGCAGACCGGGCAGGACCCAGCCCCATTGTCCCCGCTCACCAGAGCTGCCCACACAGCCTGAGTGTCCCTTTGTCCCTGGTCCGTGTCCCCCAGCCCAGGGCTGGAGCTGGCAGCGCTGTTCCCTGGGGAGGGAGTGTGGAGTGTTCAAAAAAAAAGCTTTTCCAGAGGCACAATCCAGTGGGATGACAGCAACAGAGGGAGTGAGCCCAAAACCCCAAACCTTGAATCCTCTCCAAACCCTGTAAGCAAAGCCCCAGCTCCAGGGAGGGCTGCAGGCAGCCAGGATCCACAACTCCAGGGAGGAATTCCAGGGCTCAGGGTACCAGGGAAGGCTGATCCAGGCAGATTCCATCCTCTGGGTGCTGTTCATAGCTGTAAATTGTGGTGCTTTTTTTAATATTATTTTTTATTTAGGGCCATTAAAATGTGTTTGGGTGTTGCCCCTGAGAGTGGCTGCTCCTTTTCCAGCGCTGCCAAGGTGTCCCATCCCTCCATTCACGCAGGTGCTGCTCCACTGCAGTTTTGCTTCCCTGCGACCCCATTTCCCCACCCCAATGCCTGTCCCTACCCCCCCAAAAGGATTTTCTGCCCCCACAAATGCCCCCCACACCTCACACCTCCACTTAGGGAATGTAGTGCTCAGAACACCCAACTCGTTGCACCAGTGGATTTAAACATCACATCCCAAACAAATGAAAAATAGCGCCCAAATCCTCATTTTTCCCCTCTCCGAGCACCTCTTCCCCACCTCAGGGGTTGTCAGGGCGCTGGGCAAAACAGACATAGCAGAAAATACTGACACACATCAGGACCATGGCGCTGATGCCACAGACACGGGCCCAGAACGGGGGTTCTGGGGGGTCCCTGAGGGTCACAGCCGGGGGTCCCGTGGCCTTGGGTGGCTCTGGGTGGCCAGGCTGGCTGAGCAGGAACCTGGCACAGAAATGTGGTGAGTGTAGAGGACAGATGACCCCGGGGACAGCCACCTCCTGGAGCTCAGACCCCCAGGTCTGGGAACTCGGGGCTCTTTGCCACCCCCCAATCAAAGCCCTTTCCTCAGGGCTGGACCGAGATGATCTTTGAGGAACCTTCCAGCCCAAACCGTGATCCCAGGATGTGGCATCTCCTCCCTGGTGGGTGTGGGGGCAGCTGGGACCTCCTGACAACTACTCAGGAGCCGACCCACGCTGAGGAAAACCTCACACAGCTTTTTTCCTTCTGCCCAGCACATTTCCTTGGCTCTGTCCCTACGACCCGCAGCGTCCTGCTCGCACTGAGGGACCTGCCCGGGATCCACCGCAGCCCCGGGCGGGCAAAGCCCTTCGCAAACATTCATTATCCATCCTGGGGAAAGCCGTCCTGCCTTGTCACACCCTTGTCACCGGCAGCCAAGCCAGGGAGGAGCTAAGCAGGCCCTGAGCCAAGCGCTCCTCTTCCCAAGGGGCACAACACGGGACCCCCATTCCCCGGGATCGCTGCCCATCCCCTTTCTGGAAGGGGATGTGGAAGATGCCAAGAAAAAGCCGCTGCTGCAGCCGCTGCTCCAGCCGAGCCTCGGCACAGCCCTGACCCAGATTGGTTCCTTGTTGTTGTCTCCCCGGCCGGTGGCACCGAGCTGGGCATTCCCCGGCGCTGAGTGCGCCGCCCGGGGCACCCCCGGGCACCCCG